TGTATCTGCAATGCTGAAATGCTATGAGAAGGGATGGAAGCATGTCCACAACATAGGAAATGGTGAAAGAAGTAGTAAAAGCTAGCAGTGTGGAGTGTGGGGAATGTTTCTGGCAATTAGATTAACGTATCTAAAATACTAAAATGCTATGGAAAGTGATGATAACAGGGTCCACGACGTAGGAAGTGGCTTAGGAAGTAGTAAAGTATGACGACTGTTTTTACTGCAGTATGACAAAAACAATATTATATGTACCCTTGATGACTCCGCTCAATTTTGTGGATGCGTCTGCGAACACCACCTAGTAATTTATGTTAGATTGTGTGGTTATAGAACAAAAGATAAAAATATTAATCCATTGCCATATCTTTCATTGTTTATAATACTTTGATAAAGGTTTTTACTTTTTATGTTTACATATTTTAATAGTGGAGAATTTAAACGTTGTTGAGTACACAGATGTGCTTTGATTGGGGTTTAGTATATTTGGACCTATTCGAAAGTAAAATAGTTTTCTGTGCTGCATTCTGTAGAAACTGTGTGGCACTATTTCAAATCATGACTAATACAGAATGCTGTGATTATTCAAACCTACAAAACAGTTGGTAAAAGTAAACATCTGCTTTTAAATTGTATTTATTTGTAAACATTGTAGTTCCAAAAGTCTGACATTGGACCCCTTAAAACTCTCTGGGGCTGAGCCCTTTTGACGGATCTGTACCAAACTTCACTCAAACCATCCTTAAATAATGCTCAAAGTCAAAGTCAAAGTCAAAGTCTTTATTGCCATTAAATATAACAAGTACAATAGGCTCGTCATTTAAATAAACAAAACATGCAAAATCAAATCCATCAACAAACAATTCAAATAAATAAGCTCTAGTCAAAAAACAAAACAAGAAAACATGCACAAACCATGCAGGTGTACCTGAAAATGACTCAAATGGTTACCACCAGATTGCTTTTGTCACAGTTGAAAAATTCGGATATGTGGTAAAAAGGATTTAGAATGAGCCAATTTTTTACAAAAGTGGAGAATTTTTTTGTGTGTAAATTTCTTGTACTTTGGGGCAATTTGTTGAAAAGTTTAATGCCTGAAACAGGAAAAGAACACAATGATTTTTGAAGCCTATTTCTAGGTACAAAGATATCAAACTTATTTCTAGTATCATAACTATGTACATCGCTATTTACATGAAGAGAGTCTTGTCTGGCTTTTATTGCCACCAGACACTGAAAAATGTACTCATTTACAATTGTCAAAATTTCATTTTCAACAAACAAAGGTCTGCAATGGTCAAGGTACCCAGCATTAGAAATTACTCTAACAGCTCTCTTTTGAATTAAAAGAATTCTCTTAGTACCAGTGGCATGGCCCCACAGCCTGGTTCCATAGGCTAAAATAGACTGAAAGAAAGCATGGTAGGCCTGCCTAACTGTTGGCCTTGGAAGCTCAGACATTAGCTTTCTAAGCAGGAACAACACTCTGCTAAGTCTCTTACACAGGACATCTATGTGACCTTCCCAAGACAGCTTGGGATCCAGTACAAAACCTAACAGTTTTACAGACAAACTTTCAGGTACATTAGGCAAAAGGCTGAAAGTTATTTCCTGGGTTTTCAAATCATTAAGAGCTAATTTGTTTAAAATGAACCATTGCTGAGCCAAGGCCAAAGAGTCATGCACTGCTGACTGAGCCAGGAACCAGTTTTTATCAGACGAAAATAAAGTTGTGTCGTCTGCAAATAGAATAATGTGACTATTAACATGGTAATGCAAATCATTAATGGCAATCAAAAATAAGAGGGGTCCCAAGATAGAGCCTTGGGGAACTCCATGGAGCACATCACCTTTCTCTGAAAAAGTCCCATTCCAACTAACAACTTGTTTCCTATTTGACAGGTAAGAGGAAACCACTTTGAGGGCAACATCTCCTAGACCATAGAATTTAAGTTTTACCAGAAGGGCATTGTGAGGAATGCAGTCAAAAGCACGTGACAAGTCGCAAAGAATTGCGTGTGTTGACTTTTTGGACTCAAAAGACTTGATAATTTCACACACCAAGGACTCTACAGCTAATATTGTCGATTTGGCTTTCCTAAAGCCAAACTGTGTGGGAACTAGGAGATTGTTCTCCTCAAAGTATGAATACATTTGAGAGAACATTACAGATTCCATAACTTTGGCAAAAACAGGTATGATAGACACAGGTCTGTAACTAGACAAACTTTCACGGGGACCTTTTTTATAAATTGGGACTGTTTTAGCTACTTTTAGGGCATCTGGGAAACAACCAGTTGCAAGACAGTTGTTTATCAGAATTGTGAGCTCAGGTGCAACTGTGTGTATAACTTGCTTAACAATATCTGTTGACAAATCATAAACATCCCTACTTTTAGAGACTTTGAAGTTGTGAACAATCTTTACAATATCATTTGGTTTTGTGGGAGTGAAAGAGAAACTTGTGTTTACCCTGGGAATATTAACAGTAAAATTGGAATCTACAAAAGGTATATCAGGTATTTTCCCAACAATATCGTTGACACTTTGGATAAAAAATACATTAAAATCAGTTGCTGAGAACTTCGACTCCAAGTTCACTGTTGGTCGAGGTCTGCTGTGATTAATCAAACTCCAAGCTGCCTTACATGGGTTGGATGAGCCTGTGATGAAAGCAGCGTTTGCAGAAATTTTTGCGCTTTTAATACCGTGGCGATACTCCCTGCGCAGACTTCTAACCAAGGGCAGTAACTCAGGCTGACTCGTGGACTGCTCATGGACCAGCATGATCCAGTTCTTCAGATGAGCTAAATCCTCATTATACCAATCAATCTTGCTAGGTGTAGCGTGCAATTTAGTTTTAGGCTGTGAGATTCTTTTTTTCTTTAGAGGAAAACAGAAATCAAAAATACATTTAAAACTATTTAGGAAAAACTCAAAACAGTCTTCGGGTGAAGAAAACATAGTGTGGGCCAAGTGTAAGCCACTAACAGCCCTTGACTGCAACGATTCAGTAAAATTTAGTACTGCATCATCATTAAAAGACCGGAAATCAACAAACTTGTCTACAGAACAAAGACTATTTATATGTACACGGTGAAGGTTTATGTACATAAATACATGTTTGTGATCAGCCACCTGATCTCTGCTTACACCTGCTTTAAAATCAGTCTTACACATGTTAGTAAATATATTGTCTAGAGGAGCAACACCACGAGTGGCCTCGGATATCACACCGTACAAATCAAAGCTTCGCAATAGGTTCTCAAAGTCCTTGGCATCACTGAAGAAATAGACAGGGTTCACATTATGATCGGTACCTATTATTACATACCTCCCTAGTGTCAACAAAAATACTAAACATTTTTCCAGTATATCAAAGAAATTACCCATTTTACTGCTTGGTGATCGGTACATAGTTACAACCACCAATGACAAGTCTGTAATAATTGAAGCAGAAAATTCAACCTCTTTTTCTACACTGTACATTGAGAGGTCCAGAGGCTTGACAGAGTAATTTAGTCTATTATTGAAATACAGAGCCACGCCTCCAGTTGCAGACGTACGACAAAAACTATTATTTAGTTCCAAGTTCCCAATACTTTTATAGTATTCAATTTCATCTTCAAGCAACTGATGTTCACAGACCATAAGGAAATCTACTTGATTGTCAGAGCATAATAATTCAAGTTCGATTGTCTTATTCCGCAAACACTGAACATTAATCAAACATAGGTTAAGCCTGACACAGTCTATTTCAGAATCAGTAGACTCAACACAATCTTTGCAAACTATTGACCTAAAAAAGGCTTCACATGTGTAGGACCAGGTTTTCTAGGAGTGAATTCCCTAATTAGAGTCCCTACAGGCCAAAAATCAGCATTCAAGATACCGTCAAAGTCATTAATTGGTACACCTACCTTGAAAGATGCATACGTCGGATACTTAGAGGTTAGTTTGACACAGTCAACACTTTTAATACCACCTCGTGTCACATAGTCCACTATAACTTTTTCAGTTACCTCTGGTTGACATCGAGAGATAAACAACCACGATTTCTTCTCCACAATTTTAAGGCTAGAACTGCCTTCATTAGACCCAAAATCAGTTTTTGTGCCAATGATAGGTTTCTTATTAGCTACCTTTTTGACAACAGGCGGATTTTTCACTATTCCGGTAAAACTAGTATTCAGAGGTCTAGGTCTAGGTTGACCAAGTTTAGGCTTAGTAGGCCTATCACCGGGGATGGTTTCAGTTATCAAGCTACGGTTTGAGTCAGATAATGTCTGATTATTTACACAATTTTTGTCCTGATCTACTATGGGAAATTGCTGACAAGACTTAATCCCACCTACATTATTCACATCTAGGCCTACACCTGGTTGACCTTGGTCAAGGTCATCCATAGAATTTGGCTTTCCAGTCTTAATAAAATCGTCAAATCTTTTGTTTAGTTTGATATTGTCATCTACGACACCCTTTACCATAGATATCAAACTCACAACAGAAGAATTCAAAGTAATGAAGTCGTCAACATTGCCAATACAAGAACGTAATCTCTTGAGGTTAGAACTACACGACTCACAGAACCACGTACATTTGTCATTAAATTTTGCTATTTGCTCATATTCATTCTTAGATATATTTACGCATGAGATGTGATACCACCTCGAACAAAAACCTTCACAAGCTAGTGCATTATTATTACTTTTCACTAATTTGAAACAACTACCACAATTCGGGTCAAGTATACTATCCGCCATGACAGTCCAACTCCATGCTTAATAATGCCTGAAATTTTCATTACAATATGTCGAGTGGTTACGGAGTCCATAACATACATACATACATTTTATAGATATAGATAGATATGCATTTTATTATTATTTTCAGCTATAAAATACTATATAACATCTTTAAAAAATAGTTTCAGTGGTATTGAGATTTTTGGTAAATAAATAAGACAATGCAAATGGGTTAACACAATTTCTCTTGTCTAGAATGGGATCCTATGAAGGAGGACTTTGAAAGCGTGCGTAACAATCCAGCAATCAACATGGAGGATGCTTGTGTAGCCGTTAGTGGCTACAGCGCAAAAGATGAACAGCGTATATGCAAGTTCTATGCTAGAAGAGGGTTTTGCCACAAGAAATTCTGTACAAGAGAACACACAAAGCCCAATCCAGGTTCAGTATAACTCTTTTGTAGCACATTGATTTTTTTTTTAGATACAGTACACTCCCGATTAAAAGTCAAAGCCAAAGTCATCTTGACTGTCACATAACGTTTTTTTTAATGCTCTGGCACAGCCAGACAAAACAGGTGACATTGTCAAACTATACTATAATAAACTAGCTTACAGAACTAGATTAACCGAGGTTATTGGGACTGAGACTACCCCGGTTACTAAGAATCTCGGATAACACACTCGGGGGGGTTGGGGTATTTGTCTACCGCTTCCTACTTCGGCCTGATGGACTATTGTAGCACCCCCCAGATCATTCTCACATAGCCCAGGAGCTGAAAGACACCCAGTTTCCTCATCTCTGTAGGTTCCAAGTGCAGCCTTCCCAGAGATGTCAACCTTTTTTGGGCCAACGCTGGAAAATCCAGCCATAAGTGTTCCGAGGTTTCCACCTCGTTTACGCAGAACCTGCATTGGTCTGTCTGTGACCTCCCTATGGTTCTGAGATGTTTCCTAATATGTCCGTGCCCGGTTAGCATCCCTAGTAGTAATCTGATATCTCCCTTCTTTAGGCTCAAAATGCCTTTCCAGTCTTTCATTGTGAGGTCAATTAGACGTCCTCAGTCCTGGCCTCCAGGCTTCGTTGTGCTGTTGCCAGTCATCTCTTTCTCCTATAGTCACTTGTTAAGGAATCTCAAAGTCGTATTCCTTTGTCATCAGGTCTGGCATATTTAATTCCATGTCCATACTCGGGAAGTCCCTTAGTATGGACAGGTGACCAGTCTCCCTCTGAAAATTGATCTCACCTCTACTTCCCATTTTGAGGGCGGCGATTGGGGCTGAGTCTCCATTTCTTGCCAAAGGTTTCTACAGGCTCCAAATGCTCCTATGCCTTTTGCAAGGACATAATCAAGGTGCCTGTTCCAGGTAAGTTTCTGGTCCAGATAAACTTCAAGGTATTTTGTTTCCCTCACTAAATTCACTCTTTTCCCCTGAATATTGGGGGAGTCATATTTATTCTCCTCCTCGTAAAGGAGATTAGCTCCGTTTTGTCCGGGTTAATAGTGAGGCTCTCTTTTGGGCACCATCCCTCTATGAAGCTCACAGCTGTCTGGGTGAGGTTCTCCACAGTGGCTGCGTGTTTTCCTCTGACTGTCAGCACTAGATTATCTGCAAAGGCTTGAAGGTCCATGTCTCTGCGATCTGCCTCTTTCAAAAGGTCATCCACCACTAAAGCCCACAACAAGGGCGAGATGACTCCTCCTTGGGAGCAACCTTGGCGCACTGCGTCATAGCCAACTATTTCTGCTGTCACCTCCCTGCTATTCAGTAGAGCCTTAATCCAAGCTGCTATGTCGGGGGGAATGCCCCTGCTTCTGACCGCTGCATCTATGGAGTTATAGCTCACATTATCAAAGGCACCCTGTATGTCCATGAAGACCCCTGCTAGGAATTCCTGGTTTTCTATGGTGTCTTCAATCTTTGCCACTGGGATGCTTAGGGCCATTGATGTTGATTGCATTCACAAACTTGCACTAAGTAAGGGGACTTCTCTCTAAGTAAACTTCCCTAATGTGAGGGTTAATTACTTTTTCCATATAGGCCTGTACGACTTAGGCTGGGGTGGGTCTCTCCCTTTTTTCAGGAGAAAAACCGCCCTTGCTTTCCTCCAGCAAATTGGGATATATCTTCAATAAGGTAATAAGGGCAAAGCTGCCCCTGAACAAGGCTATCAAATGGTGAATAAGGACCTCTAATCCTTCTTGAATGTATTCAGGTTCACCCTTATCCCAAGCAGCCCTGTCAACAGTGTTTTTTTCTCTCGTATCTACGCCAGTGGCATTTTTGCTATGAAGTCATTTCAAACACTTTTAAGGGAAAGCGGTCCAAACCCATTAAAGTTATGTGGATGTGCCGGGGATTGAACCCGTCCCTCCCGCACCGAAGTCCGAGATGCTAACCACTAGGCTACCAACACAACCCAAACACACATGACATATTGACATTGTATGGCTTTTCTAGATCTGTGACCTTCACCTTCCTGTCTCGTAACATTTCCAAGGTGTCCATCTGCACCTTGTCCACAATTTGTGTATGCTCACTGGAGGCATTATACTTCCAGTTGCCACTGCAATCCATTCTGATAGCTACCATTCTTGCCTCTCACAATAATGTCGAGAGGTGGCAGGTTTAGCATTACTTCCAGGGCTGCAGTTGGTGTGCCTCTCATGGCTCCTGTGAAAAATATTTTGATGGCAGTTCAAACTAAATCTAATACTGTACTTTATAATATCATAAAGAATCGTCTGCCTATGATTAACTAGTCACGAGACTCCCTTGTTGGCTATCGACTACTGTAACTTGATAGATTCATTCAATGCATTATTTCGTTTAACTTACTGTATTGTTATTGAGACGTATCGTTGACTGTTGTAGGAAAGTGAAAGTCAAAAGTAGTAGTAGTCCTCTTGCTAGATCTGCCAAATGATGATGGTTGTTTGTTGAACATTTGGTTTACGCTGGACTAGCCTATATGAATTTACTGTCGGGTCAACAAGTATAGATACTCGAGTTTGAGCTTTTATTGCAAAGTAACCAGTAGATTAAAAGAAGAATACAAGTTACATCATAATTTTACAAATTTATTCCTTCAGCGGGTAGAATGAAAAGCAGTATATGTTTTCCGGCACTTTTCTAATAACGGGCGACTTAAAAATTGTATAGTAAAAAAACGACCGATCTAATCATCATGAAAATTGACAGCTTTTAGAACATATACTTATAAAGCATATCTGTAAGTTTTAGAATTTTTCATCGATTAAAAAAACTTCTGTTATGGTTTTTGTAAAGGAATTTTATTTCAGGTACAGAACAAGTAAGAAACTACGACAAAAGCTTGAATTAAAGCTCATAAAAAGATATGAATGAAAAGTTAAGTCACACAATAGCTAAGTGGCATTGAATAATTAAAATGTACGTATAATCAAAGCAGTTTTGGAACGCTAAAGTGCGTGAAATTTGTACCGCTATCGATTCGCAGGCTGAGAGTTCTCCCCGCCCGGGACCGGTTTTCGGCAGCCCGGAACAAACCGCCGAACCTCATCACCACAATCATACCCTACCCCTAACCATATCTTGAATCGTGTTACATAAATTACCTCCCATCACCTTTTCTCGTGAGGGCTTTGGACCTCCAATGGCAGGTTTAAAAATGGATTAATGGCTAGATCGCTGTTGTCAAAGATCTATTTACAAAATATAGTCCAAAATAATTATACATAAGAAGACATTATTTACAATTGTTTGGTTTTTACACGAGATTACTCATAGGAATAATCACTGTCTGAGGATTCTGTGGAGCTATCATTCAAGTTTATTGTCAATTGTTTAACTGGAGGCATATCATATTGTCTCTTTCCCAATAATTATCTTTGATTATTTGTGAGTGGCTGACACTTCTTCCATAATTCTGGAGTGACCGACCGCAGAGCTACTTGGCAGAGTGAATTCATTACTTCCATTTATCTTCATTTTTCTTCCTGGTTTGCCATATTAACTTTAGCTACGAAAGTGTAAGGATCATAATCGTTTAAGTTATTATTTAATGCTGTTAAAACATTTTCCTGCCAGGGGTAAGACATAGTATGGTTTTGACCACACCAAGTTTCATCGGTAAAAAATAATTTGTAGCCCTTTGATCGCAGGTCCTTGACTTTCCTTAAGTAGGTGTGACGTGAAGCAGCGATAGTGGTTGACTCCATCAAGAGGGTTTTTTTATCTATGCATCTGAAAGAACATCCCAATCCATGTACAATTTTCCTGAGGGTGTTTTTTTTGACATTGAAGGACAATTTCTCAATGTTTCAACCAGTTTTCTGTGTAAATTACAAATCCTAGGGTACGTCTATACAGATAGAAGTCATAAATAGTTCTTCTTATCACCCCAAGAGTAAAATCGTCCAGCTTGATACTTGGTCAGCCTGTCCTCGTACATTGTTTCTTGCTAGGTTGATTATTCTCATCCTCAGCTGACTCGTTCTCCTTCATTGAAGCGCCGCATCTCTTCACTGTGGCATTCGACTTTGCAACACACTCCGAAACCTTCTGGTAAAGTGGGTATTGCTTGTCATTACATTTAATTTAACCTCTTCGTTCTTGAAAATACATATTGCACCTAAAATAATAGCGATTTCACGGATAAATGTGGCGCTCTAGGCATCTTGATTATAACAAACAACACAGACAGACTGAGGAAAATATGTTCATACCAAAATAATAACTATAAAGGTTACTTACAGTCTTCGCAATCCTGTTAATTGAGCACTACGGCCGTTTTGGAGATAACTCCATCGTCGGGTGCGTAGTCATTATACACTAATCTGAACTATTTACATATTTACATTTCTTACGTGGTTTCTTCATTTTCATTGCGTCAAAGTTAAATAAATAGTACATACAACACAAAACACGGACACGACACGAAAACATTAAGGCACGTGCACGGCTAAAAACTGACGACCGACGACTGATTAATCTAAAATAATAACATTGTAGGGATGGAATGTAGATAACTTAAGTATGACTCAGTGGTTTGTAAGGGTGGTTCGTAGGCAGATACCTCGCGGGGTATGTATGATTCATCGCTGGAATGTCCCTGGGCTGCCGAAAAGCGGTCCCGGGCAGGGAGAACTCCCTTCCTGCGAATTGATAGCGGTACAAATTTTGTCTATTGGCCTTTACTTAACTCACTCACCACTTTCTAGGTTATGTTACAAAATCAAATTCAAACTGTAGTCGTCATGTTTCTCCCACCAGGTTGAAAATTGCACAATCAAAATCACAATTAGAATATGTTTATGTTACTTTCTATTTAACTTCCACTAAAGAAAATCAATTTTATTATAAGTTATAAATTCACTTCAAAGTAAAAACATTCAAAACTGACGTTAACATATCACTCCATTCCATGTTTTGTTGTTAAGCCATCTGTCTGTCCAAGGC